CTGGCTGTGTCACTGGTCGCCCAGCATTTGCAGGTTGGTCTGAAATTGATAGAAAAGTTAATGTTTTCATTCTCAACCTCAACTTTATTGAAATATTATAAATAGTTCTCACCTTTGTTCCTGGCGGCCTTCTTCAACTTTCTCTTCAATTAAGATGTGCGTTTCTCCCTGGCGTTTTCCCCGTATGATTTAACCCTAATCTTGTCTGCAATGAAAAAGGACAGTGCTTAATTTCCATATCATATTGAAATGCCTTTAAGTGGTACGCATACAATTTTACAAAATTACCTTTTCTCTGTTCCTCGGTCTTTGTCTCCTGCCTTGCCCAGTCTGACTCAGCACCACTTCTTGTCTACCTCTTCCATCTCCAACCACCATCTCTGCATCCACTTGGTCATTGCCATCTCCTCTGTCATTCTGTTCTTCATGTCCAACCACTATCTCTGCACCCACTTGGTCCGTACCATCTCCTCTGTCCCTATTCTCTTCCTCCTCTACGTTTACTTCTGAATTTCTCTCTATGTCCTGCATTGCGTGACTGTTCCAATTACAATCTTCGTCAATCATGTCCATATCACCTTGAGGATCAGGCTCATCAGGATTCAAGTCTTCCTCTTCCTCACTATAAACTTGGTTTCGTGTGAGTGGCCTGGAAATTACAATGTCAGTTACTTTGGTTTATTAGATAGTTTATGTTCATAATTGTAAGAAATGAACTGGAAATACATACTCAGTTGGATTATAATCATTGAAAAGGTGCAGGGTGTGGAAGTCCTCTCTCAATGTTGGTTGGCAGAGAGTCAAAAACATTAACTCATCGTTGACACATCTGAGGCACTCAGCTGCAGTGGTGATGTCAGTGTCTCTTTGGATGTTACTTGTGCTCTTACGCTCATAGTTGCTCCTCCCATTTGATTTTTTGCCTGTGAAGCGGATATTCTTGTAGACATCATATGTTTTTTGCTCCTTTTCTTTGATGATCCCTGGTCCAAACAAAAAGATTTGAAGTTAATTATTCTGTTACAGGACTGTAACACTTTGACATCCTGCCCTAGGAAATTCAAGACTTACGCAGAAATTTATTAAAGCCAGGATGCTTGTCCTTAACTTCCCTGTTTATTGACCTGTTTACACTCTCCAACCCTGAGGTGACGTACACATGGCGACCATGAACACTGACCTCATCCGCATCAGGCCGGTCCACCCATTCTTTTCTAATTGAGAAATCTCATGCACTTAAATTGAACCTCATCTGGGCGGACCTTTGGTAATTCTTGAATGGCCAGGTCATCATGAGCCTTTGCCATCCTGTTGCCGGGTAATCTGGGGAGGAGGCAGCAGATGTGAAAGAGGAGGGAGGGTTGCTCTGTTTCTGCAGTGGTTGCTCCGCTAGAAATATCTCAAATTAAACCTGAAATCTTATTCAATTTTAGACATTAAATTTAAACCAAAATGGGAAAGAAAAGGAAGAGTGTTGCCAAATTGCCAGTAATTTACACACTGCAACAAGAACAATGTGGAGTATATGTAGAACTGACTGAAGTTAATTATCAATTTTTAAATTAATACTCATTTTCATGCAGTGCCAAATACATCTCCAAACAATGAGAGCTCTTCCACGGCCACGATACGCCTCTCTCCAACCTGCCCCCTCTCCATCCTCCCAGTCTGTGATGACCTCATTTGACTAAACACCAAAATACTATACAACCCTCCTTAAAGAACGTATAAGTAACTCGCGAGCGGCGCGCCGAGTTTTTTAGCAAGGGACATCGCCCCCCTCCTCGCCGTCGCCGGCGAAGACTTCGCGTTGGCTGGTGACTTCAGCTGTGTCCTGCGCGCGGAGGACACCACAGGTACGACGTGGAGAAGCACGGTGCAAAAAACAAATGAATTGTCTCCCGTAAAACTGTTTCTCAAAGAAGGCATCTTAACACGCACCTCTCTCATACAAATCGCATTGTTTAATAGAAAGACAAGGGGTGAACCGGGAAAGGGTGGGGGATTGCCATCCTGACATCTTTTTTCTCAGAGAAGTCTTTTTGCACCGATTTAGGTCGGTATGCATCGTCACAGGTCGCTATATTCGCCCCAAGTCCGACTTTGATGAAATTCGCGATAAATCCGTGCCCTCTGGAGGGTAGGCAACGCACCTTAAGGCATGATCTGGGGTCCGGAAATATAGACTAGTACTAGAGCAACTAATTTAAGCGGACAGGGTCGGCTTGAGCTTGCTCAGGGCTCAGATACAGACTGAAAAGGCTGAAAATTGCAATTATTTCGTTACCGGCAGACAGTCACGGGCGGATAAAATCTGAACCACAGCACCTACAGCTCGCGTAGACACATATTCTTTTTCAGCACAAAAAGACGACCATGGAGATACCACTGCCATTAAAATTTGCGCAAAACTCCATATGTTTATATTGCGCGAAATGCTCTTAAGCCCTGCTTCAAACTTCAAGGGCCTTGCGGAGGTACTTAAAATAGTTTCTCAGCAAAATGAAAAAATACGTGTTCATTCATTTTTCACCCTCTACTCGATTCTGACCTGCGGTGCCCTCTGCGGAAACTTTGAAATTTTTTTGGGCCACCCTAACGCCCGCGCCCTCAAGGACCCCGACTTCCTGCCGGAGCTCGCCGAGGAGTGGTGGATCCGCGCCGCGAAGCCCGCCATCCGCCGCATCGCCAGCCGAGTCACGCAGCAGCTGAGGGGTGAGACCAAAAACAAATTAGATTTTCTTAACACCTTGCTCACTGAACAGTGCTCCGCCCCGACGCGCACCGCCGAGCTCGCCGCCGACATCAGGGACACGAAGCTGGAGATCCTCCCCGTGCACGCGCAGTTACTCACCGGCTTCAGGGACCGCGCGCAGCTTCAGGACGCCGTCCGGGACGAGCCGCTCAGCGCAATCCACGCCGGCTAGGCAGCGCGGCGCGCGCGAGCGCAGCGCATCGACAAGATCGCGGATGACAGCGGCAGGACTCTCCAGGACCCAGGTGACATTCAAAAAGAATTCTTGAACTTTAACCAAGTGAAGTTTCAGAACTAGGAGAACGCCGCACCACCACCCGCGTGCGTCCTGGATTTCCTGGGTCGCGCCCGCCGCGCCCCGCCGCAGCGCGCTGCACCGCACTGTGCCGCGCCCCGCCACGATTGTCACGCCACGCTCGTGGCGCTCAATGCCGCGCTCAATGCCGCGCTCAATGCCGCGTTCAAAACCGCGTTCACTACCACGTCGAGCCGCCCGCCGCGCCCCGCTCGCTGCGTTCAATGTCACGCCAAGCCGCCCCCGCGGCCCCCGGCCGCCCCCGCGCCCCGCCACGCCCTGCCAACGCCCCGCCATGCCCAGAGTTGAGAGTAAAAGCTCAACGCCAATCGCCAGAAATCATCTGCTTTCACGTTAGCGTTAAGGTTTTTTTTTTCGTTTCCTTTTCTAAATCTATGGTAGCACCGGGATCTGTGCTGTCGTTCCCCAACACGTCCGGGCAGCCGCGGCCACTAAGGCGTTGATCTGGTGGCCACAGGGCCCGGGTTCGATCCCCGGCAGAGATCGCTCTATTGTTTTCGAAT